CTGACAGTTTGGGGGCTTATGTGGAATTCCCAGTTTTTCTTATGGATGGTTGGTGGGTGCTCTGGTGTGGTTTGCTCCTTCTTTCCTATCAAACATCTATGGTCCTGATCTCTTCTTTTTTGTGTATGTTACTCGCTTGTAACACCTCTAATCTTCGGCACCTATATGACCATGTGTTGCAAGTGCTGTAAAACTCTTACTAAAACTTTAAAAAACCTAGTTTTTCTCGTCCTTTGTCTTTTCTTTTGCCTATTCTCATACTGATATCTCTGCCCCCTCTCCCGCTCCCTACTTCCTTATGCTTTCTTTCTTTCTTTCTCCAATCCCATTTTCTCTTTTTTTTTAAAAATAAAAAAATAAAAATTTCAAGGTAACCTTGCAATATTGTTAAATTATTTTCTCAAAAAATCAGAATAAAAGTAAGTGGGTTTTCTAATGGATGGTAGAGTACTTTACTCTTGAATAAAAAAAAAAAAAAATGAAGCTTGACCTTCAGGCACTGCTTTAAAGTGACCCAACGGATAGTTAGATGGTGCATCTTCTTTACTTTCTCAATGATAATGTTGATTCTGTATGTTTATCTTTCATTTTTCCCAAATGATCATTATTGTCGATGTGCGTCTCTTTACTCAAACTCAAACTATAAAAATGAACCTTGCAACTTTTTGGAATTACCGCAAGATCTACTAAAGTGCTCAAAAGTTTTGCCTCATGTTTAACGTGTGAACCGTAATCTGGTCCATTGGGCCATACTGTGCATCGAGTTGTCTTTTTTCTTGTTGGAATACTATTTTCTTAATCAACTTGCACTGTAGAACATGTTGCTGGGTAGCAGCACAACTGTCATAACTTGGGGTTTTTCAAATATTACTGGAGGAGCACACACTCCCCAACCCTTTCACCACTGTACTATATCAATCAGCAATATCTGGAATTTCCCCCAAAAGAATCATATTCATATAATTCTAAGGTTTTTACAGGGTATGTGTCCGTGACCATGGAAGTTGCAAGATAAATTGGGGGGAAAAAATGAAGACTTCTATGGAGGCTCCATCACATTGCTAGGATTTGCAGCATGTTGTCCACTTACACCAAACTATAATATAATCCGAAAATAGTGGTAGACCAAAAGAAAAGAAAATCATCCAATTTTATTCTTCTCTTTGAGCGACCTCTCTAAAACTGGCTAAACTGAAGGAAATCTGGCGGTCCCGCTGATTTTGTTTGGGCAGACTTCACTGTATAGGCCACTTGTTATAGAGCAATGGTTTATGTGTTTTTTCCTTGATGTTGAGTGGGTGGTGAATTGTTGGAGGCACAGGGATCTCGTTTGCTGTTTTGACTCTTCCTCTTCTTCTCTTTTTTATTTTCTATGTCAGGGATTGTCATTGCCCTGGTCACATGTACAGGTACTGAACTTTGCTTAAAATTATTTTTTTTGTTGTTCTTATCAACTGCCATTCCTGTTTCTACAGAATGCTGGTGCCATCATTGGCAAAGGAGGAGCCAATATCAACAGGCTGAGAAATGATGTGAGTAAAGCGTGCCGTCTTAAGGCCACCCTTTTTACGCCACTAAATTGCTGTCACTGTATTAATGGAAGTGGGGAAAATGGCAAGATTAATCAGAGGAAGGCATTTCATTAAGTCTTTTACAGAAAAGAAAAGTGCAAGTCCCTGAAAAAGTTTAAAAAACATTTATGTGGTTAAAATGTCCTCGCACTGGAGAAGTTTTTTCCTCTATATATAATGAGTGCAATGCATTTATCCTCTCTTTCAGTCTTAATTTTTTTTTAGCTTTGATATTAATATTATTAATATGCTTCTCTTGCGACTAATTTTTTCTCCAGTTTCTTACTTCTTGCTTAAATGAAAATACCTAACTAGTGTGTGCTAGTGAATGAAAATCAGAGTTGGGTGTTTGTGGATGTGTGTGTGTGTGCAGTTTTTCGTCGTAAGAATTTTTTTTTTTACAGTGATAGTATGAATTGTAATAAGAGTATTCTTTCCCTTTCAGCAGGTTTAGTTTGCTTTTACAGTTATTTCATTGGCTTCATCGTTTTTCTTGGGCAAAGAAAAAAAATATTAAGCATGGGTTCATTCATTTGGATTTGTCAAGACTAATTTTGGTGTCCTTGGGAACGTTCTTTTGGAAGGGTAGTGTTATCTTCTCCCCCCCATTTTTCAAGTAAATGCATACAGCTGGTAAACATACTTAAAATGTCAGAGAATTAGTGATGCTCTAGTGATGGAAGCCTAATGATTTCCCCGCGTGCACCCTGTATTTATACACTGCTTTTATAGAACTTAATTTCTATTGGTGGGTGTACTAATATTAAATTGTATCGTTTTCAAGATTACACATTTGTCAAAACTTTTAGATCCCTAGTTTTTACATACTAGGACGCTGTATATATGTATGTTACAGTCACATTGAAAAGGATTGACATGGGTAAGCAATGTTATGATGTTAATAGTTGGGTCAAATTGGGGGAAATGTTTGTGTGTGTTCCTTATTTCGTACGGGTTTGCCAGAAAGCCTAACTGCTAATGCTATACACATGCTGCCAAGTCTCCTTTTCTAGTGAAACCTATTTGAAAACCTGATGTGCTTATTCATTCCTTTTTAAAGACTTTTTATTTCTCTTGTCCTATTTTTTGGTTTTTTGGTTTTTTTTTTGTTTTTTTTTCATCCAAGAGTGGTTTGCCACCACGGTGAATCTTCATTCACTGACTGCCAATCCAAAATTCCAAGGATATTCTTGGAGAATGGGGGGTTTGACCACTGCATATTATGTCCAAAATATTGGGTACTGTACCAAAAGTGATTACTGTCCTTTAGGTCCGTTTCAGATGAGATGGCCATTTTTTCTGACGCTCCTCCATACTGACCCTTCCTGTTACCAAACAAGTATTTCTGCTCCATAAATCTGTCATCGGTCATTGCACCATTGATGTCTTTTTATTCTTTCTATACAGTGTTGGCCATTTTTTCATTTCTTTGTATTTTTTTTTTAATTTGGAAGAAAAAAAAAGTCAACCAAACACGACCTTGATTGACTTCTTAATGTAAATACTTTTCCACACTTTCTCGAAATCTCTCATCACCATCAAACCACACAACTTCAATCTGGCCCTCGACCCCATGACCCGACCCGACCCAACCCTGGGACCCGCCCGTCCGTTCTCCACTACCATTGGTCCTGGCCCTGGCCCCACCCGCAATGATGCAGTACAAAGCCAGTGTTACAGTGCCTGATAGCAACGGTCCCGAACGGTAACCACCCTCCCCACCCAATGAAACCCCCTCCCCCCCCTCCAGCCATTTCAATTGTTTTCCTTTTTCTAGCAACCCCCCCCCCACCTTTTCAGCGTAAGAATGTTACGTTGACAGTTTTGTTGTTTGGGTTGTTGTGTGACCTAAAGGAGGGAGGAGGAATGAGTCTATGGTGTAGAGGTGGGGCATGAGTTTGTATTGTATGGGAGTAAAAAATCCACCAAGTTTTTGTGTAGCACTTTTCAAAGCCAGCCTCTTTTTTTTTATAATTTTTTTTTATTTTTTAGTCTCACTTTGTGGTTGATAAGTATATAACAGCATTTCGTATCCACCACCATGATCACCCCCCCCTTGGCCTCCTATCTGTACACCCTTCCCAAACCCATGACACCCTCCACCTGTCCAGCCCATACCCTTATTTGGTTCCCACACTTCCCTCTTTGAAAAGAATGTAACAGTTTATTCTGACTGACTGAAGGCAGCATGAACTATTGTGTGGGGATCAGCTCAAGAGAAGGTTACTTGAATGACAGGTTTTTTCTGCTCTTTTTCTTTCTTTCTTTTTTTTTTTTTTAACCTCCCAAGAAGGGATGTTTACCATTTGAACAGAAAATTGACTTCTTTTTTCATGAATTTGTTACTGAAGTCTGAACACAGTAATACGAAAGGTTACAGAAAATTTGCTTCAAGAATTTGATTCATGCCCTGTATGTCTAGGTCTTTTTTAAAAATAAGATAAAGTGAATCCTCTGTCATGATTACTCAGAATGTGTATCTTTCTCTCCTGCCTAGTGCCTAGTATAACGGAGTAACACTTATTTCACTTGCTGGTTGAAGGGATTCTTAGTGAATGTGTAAATAAGTCAGAGCACTGATTTTGTTCTGTACTTTTCCTCCCCCCAGTGTTCTTTCTATTGGAGCTGAATTGGGCACAGTCCTTGATATGCTGCTGGAGGTTCTGCCAGAAATGGAAGATGTAAGTAGAGTACATTTCCTGTAATCCCCCCTGTCCCAAACGTTGCTTTCCCTGAAATGCATTAAATCTGGGCCTGTAAGTTCCTGATAACATTTGGCTTGGGAAAGGACAGATGATTCAAAGGTTTGTCTTTTGTAGTTGCATCTGGATTGCTTGAAATGTCCCTTTTCCTTTGGGTCTACTTTTTTGTGTTGGAAGTGTCTTATTTTCAAGAATTTTCTTAAAAGGACGTTGGATATTTTAAATTATGTTTTAGAATTCATTTTAAGCAATCATTTCTGATAGTCGAATCATTGCAGTTGTAATGTATTACTTTTCCAGGTGATTCTATCTAGGATTCAGAAAAAGTTTTGTTAATTTTTCAAACTTTTTGTGTACTTGTTCTAAGAAGAAAGGTGTGTTACTAGGGTAAATATGATATTTTTGTGCATTGCTGTAAGTAGGGCAAGTTGTTGGCGTAGATGGTATATTTTCAATTTCGGTTTGAAGCAGGCCAGGAACAAAAGGAATGACGCAGAATCGGAAGTGCGCATGATTGTTCACCAGAGCCAGGCAGGCTGCATCATCGGTAGACAAGGATTCAAAGTCAAAGACTTGCGCGAGGTGAGCTCTGCATAAAAGTGAAAGCATCTTAGATTTTTGTTTTGTGTCTGTGTCGCTAAGAACTTTGTTTTCATGGAATATGGAATAGAATAGGTGATATGAAGAAAAAACTATTTGTGGGTGGTTGGTGGGTGCTTTAGTAGGGTTAGCTCTTTCTTTCCTGTCAAACATCTGTCGTCCTTATCTTTCCTCCCTTTTTTTTTTGTTTTAACACATTTGATCTTAAGCACTTATAATACCTGATTGTGTTGCAAGTGGCATAAAAGGCTCACTAAAATTAACCTGGAAAAAAATGTTTCGTCTTTTGACTTACATTTGAAGGATGTGATATCAAAAATTTCATTCATCTTTTATATAGAGGTCTCTCTCAGTACATATTTAGCTGCTGATTAGTAGACAGACACTCATTGTTAACACTTTGCAGTCACACGGCCAGGAGTACAAAATACCCCTTCTGGTCACCCAGCCAGGAGAGTGACTGCAACAGACTTCTCGAGCCTGGTGCAGAAGTGCGCCAGGTGACCGGAAAGGATGCATTATTGCGCCAAGTGACTGCAAAGTGTTATATGGAGGACATGAGTGTACTCTGTAATTTGGCACCTCTGTGGTATTGATGTGCAATTGCATTGATGGGTTGTAAAAATCTTGACAAGTAGATTAATTCTACTAATTGTGGCTCCTGTATGTTTTCCTACAAACAGTGCCCATCTTAAACTTTTGACTCCTTTTACTGGAAGTGATTTTTTTCACCTCCTCCTGCCCCCCCCCCCCCCCCCCCCACCACCACCACCACCAGCAGCAGTAATGGGTACCTGACTTCGAGTTGGGGAGGTAAAGGTGGCGTGGAAAGGAACTGGCCACCCTGCCTCAATATGCCGAAGGCCCAGGAAGTTGTCTCACTAACAAGGCTATCCTCAATGTCGGGATCGGATGCGGGAACAACTTTACTCTCTTGTAACACCTCTAATCTTCTGGCGCTCATATGACCTTATGCAGTCGCGAGCGCCGTAAATTTTCTACTTAAACTAAAACTCTCTTACTTAAAAAAAAAAAAAAAAATAGTTAAGACCTACATTCACCAAAAAAAAATTGTATTTCAGAAAACTGGAGCAAACATCAAAGTGTTCTCCACCTGCTGCCCCAACTCCACAGACAGAGTGGTCGCCATCACTGGCAAACCAAAAGTGGTGGTTGGCTGCATTGAGGAAATTGTGGAGCTGTTGCAACAAGTAAGTCTTTTCACAGATCTGAGAACCCCTGTGATGACATGATAATTTATTTTTTAAAAGAAGAAGAAAATTACTGACAAAAGTTAATTGGAAATCTTGCAAAGCTAGCTGTCTTCCACAACAAAAAAAAGATTATTTCTACTAATTTTTAAAAGAAAATTAAAAACTGTAGACTAGACGTGGGTTTTTTTGTGTGGTGATTTTGTAAGTATTTTTGTTTTTTTAATACCTGTTTGTGATACAGATGTTTCACACAGGTCACACATGCATGAGGGAGATTGTCTCCTCCCACCCCTCCCAAATCAACTTGTCAAATATCCCACTTTGTTTTTGGAATAGCAGTACTTTTATAGGCGAATTTTCTTTTGTCTCATTGACTAATTGGGTTTGTGCTTCCATTTTAAGATTGTTTTTGTATATGATTATTGGAACACCAGGCTCCCCCTAAAGGGCCCATGAATCCATACGACCCGTCGTTCAGTGATGAGTTTTTGGCTCCTGAATATGGAGGCTTCATCACTGGAGACATCCGTGCCAGCAAGGGACTGCCACGTGGGGCAGCCCCACCCCCTCGTGGTATGAGGGGTGCGATGCGGGGAGGCAGAATGTAAGTTTTTTTTTCTTTTTCTTTTCTTAACTGTCCTCCCCATTCTTTCCCGTTCCATGACATTTTTGTATGATTGGTGTCCTTGTTTGTTGCCCCTCTCCCCCTACTCCCCATCCTCCCATCCTCTTTCCCCCCTCACCCCATGGGAACAAAAATCCCATTCCATTAATGAACCATGTCCTATGAAGTTCTAATATATATTTCCTGAGTATTTATAAAAATATTGCTTTATTTTTGGCCTCCAGCACCCAGTTCCTGTAGATGGGTGAATTATATTTAGAGATTCTCTGTAGCGTTGTTGTTGCCCCAGGCTGTTAGACTTCATGAAACGACCCGTAGGCTGGGCAGCATTACTGGGAAGGGGGAAGCACTCGCTGGAGGTGTGAGCTTGTGTATGAGTAGACCTTCAGAGGGACTCTGGGGATATCATCCAGTCTCAGTTGTGCAGGCCAGTATCTCTGCTTTCCCCAGGGGTATGGATGCTTTTGGGATGGGTGGAGTCTTGGATTTTGGCCGAGGTGGAATGCGAGGTGGCATGCGTGGAGGCATGCGAGGCGGGAAGGCCTTTGGAAGTGGCTTGGGCGGTGACATGGAGCCAGGCATGGGCAGAGGGGCAGCTTTTGGCAGAGGGGGAACCATGAGGTGCGTGCCATTGTCACTTTTTTGTCTGTGCCCATTTTCAAGCTGCTCTAGTGCCCGCAGTATTCAGTGCTTCCATTGCTCGGCTGCTGAGCAACATTTGATTCTTGGCTGTTTCGGACCAAAAAGAACGAAAGAAGAAAGAAATGCGTGTAGCTTTTGCTCTTCTAACCACCAGATCTTGTGGCTGACTAACTCAAGTTTGCTTACCCTGTTTGTTCCCTGATGACTTGGTTACCCCTTTCGGCCGACTGAAGTCTGTGGGCACTGGCAGTGGACAGCTTTTCTTTTTTTTTTTTTTTCTGTGTCCGCTCTGCAGGACATGTGTTCTCTGGTGATAAGTGGGCAGTACCGCACCTGTCCCCCCTGTGTAGCAGCTCCCTGATGCTCATGCCATGTCGTCAGTAGTGCATGTTTCCCCCCTCCCCCTTCCCCTCCCGCTCATTTCTCTTCCCTTCCCATCCCCACCCCTTCCCTCTTTTTCTCGCGTCTGGTGTGGAAAATTTAATAAGTCCCTTTGTATGGTGTGTGATGGAAGCACTGATTACTTGCCTAGACTTTTACATTTCATTGTTTTCTGTTTTGTATTTTATTTATTTTTTGGTCAATCTGTGTCACTTACGAACAAAAATGAATTAAATGTGGTAGTTTTTAGGTGCAGTTTGTTAGAGAGTTTTCATTTGATATTGCAGTTTATGAGAATGAACAAGAGACTTTAAGGCAGGTTTTGTAAAGTGCACTTGTAAATGTAATGGCCACCGAAAATATTATGCAGTTATTCATTGAGTCAAGTTGTGAATTATTCTCTTTCAATGTCTTTGAGAACCATTCAAGAAGTAAAATTTGTGCATTGGGACACCCTTTTCTCATAAGCAATGAGTGAGTTTAGTGTGGGTAAGGAAGGCTTTGTTGCCTAATGTTAAGAATAAGTTATGAAGTCCTTTTCATAATCCAACTCTTGGGGGGGTGGATAGTGAAATATGTGATCAGGATAATCATATTCAGACAGCCAGGTTCATAAACACTGAAGAGTATACATTTGTTGTTTGTTTACTGTTACTTAAAAACTTGGCAAATTTATTTGTTGTTTGTCTGTTTTCTGCTTTAGTCTTTTTGTTTAGTTGGCATTTTAATTGTTCAGCTATGCATTATAATTTTTGTTGTTTAAAAATCTAATGTGGTTTGCACTTTGAGAGACTGGAGTTTGTTTCAAAAGAATGTTTCAATTATAAAAAAATTGAAGCGGGCACTGCTCTTTATGTAGCAAATTAGATATCTTCAACATATGCTCATGAATGAATGGTGAGCCAGGTCTTCCGTTACCTTTTTCGTTGACTTTCGTTGAAAAAAGAACGTAAACTAATTTCTCCATTTGCTGACGGGTACTTCTGTTTTTTCATTTCCTCAGAGGCAACATGAACGGCAATAACATGGGCTTGGGCCGTGTCGGTAAGAATATGTACACTTGTTAATAGTTGGTACCACAAACAAGTTTCTAAATGTTTAAAAGTACATATATTTTTTTATAAGATCGGAAAGAGCTTTGGAAATTATGAACCTCACTGTTTAAATCATTAACATATAATCGTACAAGAAATGTGAAAGTTATCATGGTTCAAATTCATTCGAAACTTGGGAAAATTTCAGGCAGCATGCAACATAAGCAAAAAGGGATACTTTGGCCTTCCACTTCAAAGTGAAATTGTTTTCTTTAAATCTTTTAAGCTTTTCAGACTGGACGCTTTTATTGTAGAAACAATATGTGACTCCCTGTTTATTGGTCTTTGCAGCAAACTTATTGTTTTCAGTGAAGGAAATTTTCATGAATGAACATATAGCTTTTAGTTAACTATCCATCCATCCTGTTCTGATGTGACAGATATCTGAAATTAGATTATACTTTTCAGTGCTTAAGTTTGGAGGGGAAGTTAAAAGAGAGTCGCTAAGTTTGCAGGCGGGATAGTTTTGTTTAGAATTGGAGAAGCTGGTGTCTTAACACTTTGCCATCATGTTTTGGGGAAAATCCAAAGAAACTGGGAGGCAAACATCGCCAATTGGCGAGATTAGGCGGCTAGGTGTTAATATAAACCCTAATCTCTGACGAGAGACTTCAAGACAATAAGTGTTGTTTTAGAGTTTGTAGACATTGTCCAATGCCTCTTATGTGGTGAGGGATACTGCAGTTCCCAAATTCACCTTTAAATGAGAAAAGGCCAAATTCTTGAGCTCTCCTAGGCTCATTTAGTAAGTTTCTGTGTCGAGTGCCTTGCATGTTGAAACCTGCATGAATGAAAACAATTATAAATGAAGAGAGGCAACAAAGCGGTATATGCATATCTTACTTTTATTGATGTGTTGGGCGTGGGATAAGGGAAGCAGTTTTTAATCTTTGCATCAAGGTGCTGAGCAGTACATACACACCGTAGAATTTGACATCTTTTTTCCTATCTGTACTTGTATCATTTTCCTCTTGTTAAAATGTGCACCTTTCTTTTACAGGAACTGGCCCTGGATTTGGAAGTGCATTTGGAGGTGGAATGCAGCAAGATTTCAGTGGTGATATGGTAAGGCCATCTAAAATATTGTTGAAGCTACGAGTACAACATTTTTCTCATTTAAATGCTAAATAAATTTCTTACCTTTTTTGTTGAGAAGATTTGATTCTATTGATTTGTGTTGTGTACAGTGGAACTCGGATTCAACGAGATGAGATAGATTCCCCGTTTTTCTTCTTTAAAATCGATAAAAATAACCCGGATTTAACGAGCACTTAAATCAGCGAGCTTGGATTCAACGAGGTCGCTTCCAGGTTGAACAGCCCCCGCAGACGTGGCTTCGCTCATTTTTCTCCCAAAACGAACTATCCATTCCCGGAAACCATCCATTGCAACTGCATCGTGAACCTTTATTCGCCTAGCCGATTGCATGCGACCAATCAACAGCCTTTTTTCATACCTACACATACGTTGTCAGCACGCTCATGTGTCTACTCTGCGTATGTCGGGGTCGGATGGGCGGCCTGCACACGTGTGGCTGTGTGTGTGTGTGTCAGGGAGGGTGGGGGGACTAGCGGTCCGGGCGTTGAACGTCGCCGGTACAAACGCGTCACAGTTGTTTTTTTCCCCTCTGCAACTGATCATTGTTACAATTATAAGCTAGTCTAGATGTAGATCTACGTAATGAATTGTGCGCTGGTCTATGGAATCAAAAGTTGTCGTATGTTAGGCTCTACACAACACAGCAACACAACTTTTTGGTAAACAATCGAGATGACACAGGCGTGTGCTTTTGAACGAATCAGGCTTTTTTTTACACGGCTCATAATATGCTGGTGTTTCAGGGACTATTTGTGACTTCTCTTTATACATTACTTGCTCAGTGCCTGTACTTATCTACACAAAACCTCTTGTTTGCTATAACGAACACTCGGATTCAACGGAAATTTTAGGTCAGGCCCCGCGACCTCATTGAATCCGAGTTCCACTGTATTCTCAAATTTGGTTTTGGAAAACTATCGAAGTAATATTTATCCAAACTTTAAAAAAAAAATCCTCTCAGTTGTCAAAGGCTGTTTGTTACATTTTGGCATTTGCTGAAGCCATACGTTGACATGATACATGATTGTGAAAAATGATTGATGATTTTGGGAAAGTATTAGTATTAAGACAACAATTAGGTTGTTGGGCCAAATGCAGTTGTGAATTTTCTTGTCTGAGGTCTTTATTGGTGGGTTCATCTCTTATGAAATGTACATGATTTCTTTCAGACTAACATGGGAGGAGGCCAGGGCATGGCGTTTGGTGAGGAGGAATGTGAAACTACGCAAGTAACCATCCCAAAAGATGTAAGTGTTTCTCAAATGAAAATGAGGTGTTAACATTGTGTCTACTCCGGCTGAACAGGGTATTAATGCCTCCCAAGCTTCTCAAAATGATCAATGAGGTAACGATGCAGTCATGGCAAAACTGTCTCTTATAATAATTTATTTTGTACATCTCTGGACATTAAATCACTTTAAGTTTGCTTTTTTTTGTATATTGCCCGTGTTCAACCTGTTCATCAGTATGGGTCGCAGTTATGCCTGCATGCTCAATTCAATATTGAGACCCAAGAAATTTCCAGTAATATTTTATTTCTGGGGACTTCTTTCCTGGGAAGTGGATCTTGTGACTGTTCTCCTTTGCACTGTGAATTGCTGTTTTTATTTTCTCTCTGGGTCAAAGCAGATAAGTGGGTGGTTGGCGGGTGCTCTTGTGTAGTTTGCTCTTTCTTTTCTATCAAACCTCTATCGTCCTGACTCTTCTTCTTTTTTATGTTTTTTACTCTCTTGTAACACCTTTAATCTGCAGTATTTATATTACCTTATTGTGTTGCAGGTTCCATAAAACTCTTAATAGTGGGTGGTTGGCGGGTGCTCTGGTATGGTTTGCTTCTTCTTTCCTCTCTAACAACTATCATCCTTATCTCCCTTTCTTCTTTTTTAGGTTTGAAACTCTCTTGTAACACCTCTAATCTTCTTGCGCTCATATGACCTTATGCAGTTGCGAGCACGTAAAACCTCTACTAAAACTAAAAAGCAGATAATTTTAAGAAAACTATAAACAAAATTATTTGAAGTTTTTGTCTTGTCTGTAGCTTTATTTTGTTTCTTTCTTGTCTTTGATTTCTATCTTTCACCCTGTCTTGGTTTATTTGCTCTTTGTCTACTGAACATGTTTTTTGACATTGGTTTCCAGCTGGCCGGTGCTATTATTGGTAAAGGTGGAAGTCGGATTACCGATATCAGGCGTCGATCGGGTGCCCAGATTGTGATTGATGAGGCACTGCCGGGATCCAATGATCGCATTATTAGCATCAGTGGTACCCCTGACCAGATCCAAAATGCTCAGTACCTGCTCCAGATGAGGTAACTTTTTTCCCCCTCCCCCTCGCTAGAAAAAGCTCATTTTAGATCGCTGAATCTGTATGCTAACCCTGCACCTCCTGACTTGAATGTCCTCTCTGCACGTGGTGACAGTGCATACCCAATGGCAGAATTTCGCTTTATTTCAAATCTACATTGGCTATTTTACGCTTCAAGGAGAAATACAGTCGAACCTGCTCTAATGGCCACCCTTAAAGACAATGACCTGTACAAAGTACCACTCCTCAATTCCCCCTTTGAGTTTTTTTTAACATAATGACACTGTATAAGATGTCCACCTATCTAAAAATTTTAACTTTTCTCCACGAGTGGTTTTAGTCATTTACAAATTCGACTGTATTTATATTGATAGTGCTCTTGTATATTTGCTGAAATAGTAATAGAGGTCCCAATGTGAGAAATGGTCTACATGAAACAATTTGACTTTTGGGCATCAGTTTGACAAAGATTTATGATTACATATTTGTGATTGTTTTCATAAGCATGTGCCAGCATTATCTTTTTCTGAAACATTATGAATAAGAAGTAAATTGAACTGTAATTTATAATGCAATTTAATGCATTGTGTTAAAAATAATTGTGTAATTGCTTTAAATTGATTATCCTCAATCTAAAAGGCATCCAAAACTGGAATTTTGGATGTGCAGAGTAGGAAGAGGTAGAAGCTTCCGCCAATGATTTGTTTTACCGTGCATGTCAGTGGAAATTAAAGTAACATTGATTTTTAAGAATTCTTTTTACAGTTTTTATTTTAGTTTGACTATTTTTCCAAATTTTCCGTAGTTAATTTTGAGAAAACCTTGTAAATATTTAAAAATAAGCCAGTAGTAAATTTTCTGCAGCTTTATAGCTTGTTCACTTTCGTCTGACAGCATAAAAAAAATTCTAGCTCATTTATTCATTTACCTATGCCCATGAAACTTTGCATGGCTTTTCTACAAGCAAGCGATCAAACAAATTTTAAAAAAAAATCTTGATCCTGTAATTTAAAACATTTTTTTTTGGATCCTATATTATACCTGCATGTGTTTTTGCGGTCCTGTACAGCCAAGAAAAATTTCCCTCTGGGATGATAAAGTATTATCTTATCTTATAAAAAACCGCTTTTTGGATGCATACACAGGATCACTAAAATGAATGATTTTTAACTTACAGTAACCTTGCGTACAAATTGCTTATATTGAGACGGTGACACCACCCTGCCCCCTCATTTCAGTGTAAACTTGTAGATTTCATCCCCGGGCTGTCTAGACGTCTCCACATGCTCCACGTGAGTCTCGAAAATTACTCACCCCGTCTCTTGAATAGCATTTTTTTTTTGGGGGGGGGGCATACTTTAGAGTATGGTGTTAAGGAAAAATATGTCAAATTTTCAATGGTGTATGTGTATGCTTTTAATCTTCTATTATTATTTTTTTTACGCGCTTTAGGCTTACATCAAAGAAAACGTTTCGGAACTAGTTTGCAGTGACCTTTATGAATGGGCTTTTTTTATTCTGTTGGTCATCCAACTTTTAGACCCTTGTGCAAAGATGTGAGAAGATTAAACAGAGCGATTTTGTTTTATCTTGTTTTAACTGCGGTCAGACGAAAGTGAACAAGCTATAACATACTTCTTTGATACTAGTTACTCTGTATAGACACAGGCATTTCCATAATTTTTGGTTTAAAGAAGAGGTTGATTTTTTAAAGCCTTTTCTGTACCACTTTTTATACCAATAGCATTGGTGAGCTTTGGGAATTTTGTGTTTCCTGGTTAAAGGCATGGCACATTTTCAGATCATTTTTTAGTTACTTGCCTTCTTGCTTTGTCATTATTTTGCAGCCATAGTGTAAGGGTGTCATATCTCTTCCTAGGTGGGTAGTTGGCAGGTGCTCTGGTGTTGTTTGCTCCTTCTTTCCCTTAAAAAATCTATCGTCCTTATCTCTCCTCCTCTTTTTGTGTATGTTACTCTCTTGTAACACGTCTATTCTTGGGCACTTATATGACCTTATTGTGTTGCAAGTGCTGCAAAACGCTTACTAAAACTAAACTCTCTCCTTAAAGCAATAGTTACATTTTTTGGATCTCTTTTTATTCCAAAGTTAGTCTCTGTGCATTGCTTCAAGTGTCGATTTTCAAAATATTCTTATTAGTAACTGTTGGAACCGAGCACTCCTGTTTCATATTGTCTGGCTTGGGTCTTCCACAAAATTTCTACCTAATTCAAATCAAAGGGGCGTTGCTTTAAAAAAAATTCTTGAAATTAAAGGAAAATTATAATGTCAGCTCATGTGCGTGGTGCTCTGTTGGAAATTCCATGGTGGAATTTTTTTTCTAATGATTATATGATGCTACTGCATTGGTTTTTTAGTTCAAATTTGTCTTCCTGGAGAAAAAAAGATGCCATTTCTGTAACATTTTCCTACTGCATCATGCTCTGTTGAAAGTAGTGCTTTGGTTGAAAGCATAGTTTTATTTTTGTCTAATTAGTCATGATAATTCTCAAACATATGTTGCCGTTCTCTCCCCCTGTACCCTGTGATTACTGGTGCATTTATGGCTTTTTTCCCCCCCGTAGTGTGCATGATTATGGGTAAAGCGAAAATTGGTAGCGCTGCAGGGCTTGCTATTATATTTTTAATCGTGGTAGAAAGCAGTTTGTGAAATTATGGGTGTGTAGATCAATAAAATGAGAATTGTGTGAACTGTTTCAATGGTGCACTGAACAGTGGTGTAGTCTTATTTTGCCTCAGACTAATTGAAGGTGTAAATGCAAATCCTGGAATAATTATGATCTTGTTATCATATGGCCTCAAAACTATTACATTTTTTGAAGTAGAACAGTTTCCCAGAAATGTATGAAGTTCTTGATTTCTTTTTGTTGTTTTGATAAGGTAGCCTTGTTTCCCGAGACACATCCATTATTAGGTACTTATTTTTACTTGTTTTTACCTCTGGAATGATATTTTATCAGCTTTTCTTTCCTATTTTAGGTGGTATATTGTCAGCTTTTTTATTACTTATGCTGATATTCTTTGAATAAAATCCCTTGTCATTTTGAATAAATTGTAAGAAGTTGCAGTTGCCTGCATGCACTGCTTTGTTAATTTATCTGTTTAAAAAAAGAAACAAAAAACTGAATTTCTTTCTTGCAAGTGGGCAAGGGATTGTCTCAATAAATAAGTGTCACTCTAGTGTTGCTGTAAGATTTGGATGGGACGCCTACTGGCATCTGTATCTCTCCGCTGCGATGTAACGAAATACATATATATATATATGATACTGCCCTAGTAAAATGGCACATTACATCTGTTTAACTTGACTATTTATCATTTAATTATAGCAAAACATGCTATGCTTGCTTCTTTTATAGCTCATTTTTGTTTTGATTTTACCAAAAGATCGACAAAGTACCTCCAAACTAGTTAAAAAGGTAGTTGCATTTAGGCACAAAACTTGTGACTTACCTCTAAGTGGTTGATCCCGTTTCAAGATTGAACGGTAGTCTACACAACAGAGAACATGCCTGCTGTACATGCTGTTGTAGAGCACAGCAGCTATACAGGCTTGTATCTATTGCATCTGTCGCACACGGGGTGACCTCATGGGGCACAGATTGGGTTTTTATAGATTTTCTGTATTAGAATGTGCCCTACTTCAAGTTGAGGGTTTGACAGTTTTTAAAAAAAATTTTAAGAAGGCAATTGTGGAAACAGTAAAAGTGTTTCTGATAACTGGAGAAAATATTTGTCAATGAAATGAAAAACCAAAACGTGATACATGCATGCTGTTTTATCTCTAACAAAACACTAACGTGTCCCATCGTCTGTTCCACCGTCCTGGCAGAGCTCTCTAGCATCTTTATTCATAGTGTCACGGTGCCTTGAAAATGATTAAATAAAGTGCTCTGTAAGTTTGGCAGCACACATTGATTTATTATTAGCTTTTTGCTATTTTCTATTATTTCTCTGCTGTCCTCGGCATTCCTTTCCTTGGATAAACATCTGGTTGTGGGCTCCAACCTTCCTACCTACATATAACCTACTTTTCTGCTGGGTATAGGTGCTTCTACACTGAACAACTCTTGCACTCTCCTCTTGGTTCTGACTTTATTGAGACGGGTTTCTCAGCTGCAGCACTAACCTTGCACTCCTCTGTTGTGGTCTGGAAGACTAGTGATTTAGTTGTTTTATTGATGGAGAACAATTAATCACAATCTTCTATGACCACGGCAGATGCCTAACCACATCTGACTTGGCCTGCTGCATGAAGTTTATTTATTCCCCCCTTCTGCATTTCTTTTCTTTTCTATTCTATTTTTTTCCCTTTAAATCTGGATGCTTTGTTTTGATCTAATGTAGTTTGTAGATTAGCCTTGGATGACTTCTAAAGGGTCCATCTTGTCTCCTGATTGCCAGTCCTGCATCTGATTTCTGAACTTACATTATTAGTAAAGCATCCTCCTAGTGTTGTCATGATTTTTTTGCATTGTATTTATTTGAATGATATTGCGTTATTACGTTGCCATGGCTGAAACAGCCTCCTGACTCTCATGACGATGCCCTTCAGATTTTCCTTGTTTAGATACCTTGTGAAGTAGCCTCAGTCCTATTTCCAGTCTCTGTCAGTAAAGATGGATGGTTGTTCTGCGATTGGTTAGACTTATTGACATTTCTAATGCGAGAAACTTGAGTCCATGTTTTTATGCTCGCTCTTTACTTAGCTGGATATTAGTTTGAAAGTATACCAACTAGTTTGTTGAATGAACGGGTTTGTGAAGCTGTTTGCGAATTGAGTTTTTAAACGTTTGTTCTGGCCATTTTAGCAGATTTTTGTCATTTTGATGTTATATGGTTAAACAGCTGGTAGATGTTAACTTTTGTTTGTGTTGGGATTTTCAATCAAAAGAAATTGGTTATTGAGGAAGTACTGGATAGAAGCTGCTATATTTTCTGTAGAAGGAAGAAAAAAGATAGTTCAAAGGGAGATTGTATTTATGCAGTGTCTCTTTTTGAATTGTGTTTGTGTGAAGGAGGCATTTTTTCACGTCCACTCAAGCTTGTTTTGGAGCAGAGGATATGCACCATTCTGTCTTCTTTTGTATCTCCCTGGCCTTTTGCTTTCTTTGAGGACAAAGTGTTTGAATAATCCACCAACGTTCATGACATCTGGGTGGGGATTGTCAAGTGAACATCAGGAGATAAAGTGGCAGGAACTTACTCCCACCTCCTCACAGATGACATACCAGTGTCTGTTTTTCTATATATTTTTTTGGCTCTGTGCTGGGAGTATGAAAAATATCTGAGTTGGATGTGAATACTTTACGGTGTTGATGGGCAGGAATTATTTAAGCAGCCCTACGATTGTAAGTGATCTAAATCAGTATTAATGATAATGATGGGAAGTTATGTAGCACCTATTCCCTAGACACCTCCAGTGCTGTACTATGTAGAATTATCAATCAGCTTAACGTATGAATCAAAGGACATTGTGAGACTATTTAACAACACAAACAGATGCATATACGTGTGCGCCGCGCGCACGCACACACACACACACATTATTCTTGCATACAGTTGTGTCAACTGAGGCTGTAACATCTTTACTATTATTACTATTATTTTACAACAGTCGGGAATGCCGTTTCAACAGAACTAATTATTTATATTTTGACTTGTATTTCAGTGTCAAGCAGAACTCAAACAAGTTCTAGACGAATGACTCCCAGACTCAGTCAGCATTCAGCCCATCGTAGAAACATCTGGTTGGAGGAATGCGGCATCTGTCTTTGTATGCAGTATTGAGATGCATGGTTTTTTTTTCATTCCAGACTATCCCCAGACGTTACTTGTAACCATATTTTTTAAGATACAAATCTTCGTTGTCCTTATGTCATGTCATTGCCTCAGCTCCTGAAAATCAGAAAGTTTACAAGAGATTATCTCGTTCCCCCTCGATATGAGGGATGACTGATACTGTACACTGAAATTTTGTCACAAATACAATTTGCTTCCTTGTCACTTTTGTGTTCTAGTTGAGATCACTCCCTTCCTCCCATGTTTGTCAGTGTTAGAAATGATCAACACTTGAATGGTAATGAATTATGTTCCATCTTAGAAAAACTCTTAAGAGAAGGTTTTTGTGTTTGTTTGTTTTTTTGGGTTTTTTTTGTAATTTCATTTATCTTCATACTGCCATGGTCCTTGTACATAGCCCACCCTTTTGTCACGCAGTTGTTCAACATTTAATGTAACCTTCCAATGACCACTTCAGAGACACAGGTACGTTTTTACTGTAACACCCGACCATTGTTTTCTAACTGTTGTCATAATTTTGGAGGGGCTTGATGACTACTCGTGGGTTGTGTTTGCCTCTTTGTTTTAAAGAAATAAACATTGTTTGTGTAAAAGTTCCGTTTTTGGCTGCCAGCTGTTGGTTTTTGATTGACTGTTTGTCTTGGTGGGTTGGAAAGCAAGTGGTTGGTGGGTGCTCTAGTGTGGTTTGCTCCTTCATCATTCCTATTGAACATCTATGGCCCTTCCTTCTTTTTTGTGTTTGTTACTGTCTTGTAACACCAAATCTTTGGCACTTATATTATGATCCACCTGTGTTGCAGGTACCGTAAAATGCTTACTAAAACAAAACTAAAGTAGTTTGGAGGGTGTCATTGGTAGGTTCTATTTCTTTAGTTTCCTTCTTTTCTTCTTTTTGTTTGTTTTGCTTTTACCCAGCACTAAATAACAGTCTAATATTTTTTATATGGGTGGTTGACAGGTGCTCTGGTGTGGTTTGCTTCTTCTTTCCTATAAAACATTTATCGTCCTTATTTCCCCTTCTTCTTTATTATGTTTGTTACTCTCTTGTAACACCTCTAATCTTCTGGCACTCATATGACCTTATGCAGTTGCGAGCGCCGTGAAACCTCTACTAAAACTAAATGATCGTTATGTATGTAGTGTCGGTGTGCAGCTCTTTCCTCAGACAAGAGCATGGGGTGTCTAAGAGATATCGATATACGGGGGGGCGCCTTCATGAGCTGAATTTCTTGTGGAATGGAAAGGATATTTAAATTTTGAGCCTAATCTTGCCTGCCGAAGTAATTCAAAGTCAGCTCTTTTGTACATAGGTACAGTCGTCTCCACCTAAACGCACTTCTCGAGAGGGCTTCTTAGTGTGTGTTTATGATGAGAGTGGTTTTACTTGGATTCTACCAGAAAACTTTGATCAAAGAAGGCAAAATAAAATGTAAATATAGATTTTTAAAGATCGCCAAACTTTGGCAGCCATTTTCTCATTAGTTTTACCCCTGATACAAGGTGACCTCGACTTCATCAGTCGCAAATAATCTCGTCTATTCAAGATGGATTTTTTAAATTTTCATCAAACGCAAAGTAAAAAAAGGACAGTGTGTAAAATTACACCGATAACTCCATGTCAATTTTTACACCCTATCAAAGATGCACCTTACAACATCACCAAAGTGGGTGTTTGGTGGGTGCTCTGGTCTATCATTGTCAAACATCTATCGTCCTTATTTCCCCTTCTGTTTTGTGTTTGTTACTCTCTTGTAACATCTCTGATCTTCTGGCGCTCATATGACCGTATGCAGTTGCGAGCGCCGTAAAACCTCTACTAAATAAAACTGAACTGACCTTATTGTGCTGTAAAACTCTTACTAAAACTAAAACTAAAAATATCACCAAAATGCAGTTTATTGCATTGGTCAAGGCTTACAATTGTCTTGCTTTTCATAATTCCTGATGTGGGTGGTTGGCGGGGACTCTGGTGTGGTTTGCTCCTTCTTTCCAACCAAAGGTCTATTGTCCTGATCTCTCCTCCTCCTTTTTGTGTTTTTATTCTCTTGTAACACCTTTTTTGGGGGGTAGGTGTTTTACGGCTCTCACAACTGCATAAGGTCATATGAGCGTGCTGGACACATTAAACTTTTTCAGTCTGTGGGAGAGCCACTGGGAAAAACAGAAAAATAATCAACTGTATGTTATAAAACCCAAACTGGAACAGCGAAATCCTTCGGACCTCTCTAGAAGAGACGAAGTCATTTTTACTCGATTGCCCTTCGGACACACGGCCTTGACCCACAAATACCTCCTACAGGGAGATGAGAAGCCGTTCTGTGTCGGATGCGACACAGATTTTACCTTTAGACACATCTTAACCGAATGTCTGGACTTTGGAGAGATCCGAAGGAAATATAAATATGCAAGAAATTGCAAGACATTTTTTCCGTCGTTGGTTCCAGCAGAATTTTGAATTTTATGAAGGCCATTGGCCTTTATGGCAAATTATAAAGTGAAATTGTACTATTTAAATTTTTTTATGTTAACTAGAAAAATTGTTTTAGATTGGAAAAAAAAATATATATATTATATATATATGTATATTTACATTGATTTTTTAACATTTTAAGATCTAACTACTGACCCGAGCTAGCCGTACAGTAAACTATTGAGAACAAAACTAACTTGTGTTTCGCGCGCTCATAGGACCTTGTGCAGTTGTGAGCGTCGTAAAACCCTATACAAAACAAAACAAACTTTTTCAGTTGGAAGGAAATTTAGAATTTAAAATGTTGCCCAGGTGGCGGCCGAAGCCTACTTTTATTGATATTATTACACCACCGCGCGCAACTTGCACATGGGCCCTCCGAGATTTTTTCCCCCCTATCCGAGAAGGCTAGGTGTAGATCTTACCTACCATAAGATCAGAGGTGTGGCTGAAAGACAGCAGTAACAAGGAGTAACAGTAGAAAGGGTCAGGAGCTCAGAGGGGACAAAGGAAGTGAGGGGATAGGGGCAGAAAGTGGAGACTAAAGCAGATGACAGGAGATTGCTAGAGAGCAGGAAAGGAGGTGAAAGGAGACAATTTCAGAGAACAAAATGTTTTCGTCGCTACTTGGATACGAACCCGGGACCTTTGAATGAGAGGCTAATTCCTTAACCTCTAGGCCAAGAGGGCCCCCTAACACCTCTATTCTGTGGCACTTACATAATAATAACATGACCTTATTGTGTTGCAAGTGCCGTAAAACTCTAACTAAAATTTAAAACTTATAATAATTCCTGACAGTTTCAACACAACAAAAACTTTTTTTGTCTCTGGTGTAAAATACCTAAACAGACTTTTATTAAGTGGTTTTGCCTTGCAACAACAACGACTAATAAAATGGCAAGCACGTGATTCTGCCCCGTGCTGACATGGTTCCTGTAACTTGTAAGTCAGGACAGTTCAATGCATTCACTGGTCACGGTGTCTGTGGTGTAGCAGTTGGGCGCTTCATTGTTGCACGCAGAGGAGACCAGAGTTCAATTTAAGTGGGAAGACAATCTTTATCTAGTACCTTGTCCTTTCTGCTGGGATGTATCCTTTCTTCTTAGCTTGGGTTGGCCCTGACAGGTAGGGTTGGAAACCTGTCTCCCAAATATGGTTTTTCAAATTATGTTGCTCTTTCTGTCCTGAAGGCGAGAACCAAATTGGGTTACTCATAATAATAATGAAATGTCAGCAAGTGGGAATGGAAGTCAAAAGAGGCAGAGTGGACTAAGAATAACTACTTACTTAAACTTAAACGCAATCCCACATCATCTCTCATCAGATCACCACCATTATTTCTAAAAGCATCATTGCTCTCAGAATAAAATCAACGGCTTACGTTTACATTATAATCCTTGAATCTCTATCTGTAACAGTTACTTGTTAAACAAAGTATGCACGTAATACACTAAAGGACACTATCATACGCACTTTTTTCTACTAATCAGATGGCGTCAATCTCATATATATAAATGAGCAATGGTATAAGAGAGAAAATAGAATAACTGCTTACAAACTCAACAGATGGATGATGAGAAAAGACTAGGATGATGTAAGACTAAATTATGTGTACAGATCGCACATTTTTTAGATCATCCAGGGAAATGAGAGTTGAATTATGCTTGCAGAGGTTCTTGGAGATAAAGGTGAGAAAAGAGATAGATAGGTAATCGTGTCTGATCTGAATTTTAGTTTACTTGTACCCGGTCTAAGAGGTACAATGTAGTTAGTTAATGTCTGCGTTGTGGAGCGCACTGGTCCCCAATGTCTTCGAGATTTAACGGCCCAGGCACCAGTTTTTGCCGCCCAAGTCGAATCCTTCCAATCATCAGAAGTTTAAGCAGTTTGCGTAGATCTAATCAAACTGTAGGCCTACCTAAATTTGGTAGTGATGTTGAGAACGGGCATTATAGACACCGTCAAAGTAAAAGAAAATGCGAATACTGACTCGACCAAGTGGGTGAATTGTGGTAAAAGCTACTGACAAATGAATTATTTAAGTTTATGACTGACAGCTGTTAAGGTGTGCTGAATTTTACTGTTGCGTCCGGTACACCCATTGGTAAATACTTTTAACCGGGCAAAAAAGCCTATGATATGAAAAGCTAGCACATGTGGTAGATCTAAATCAAAATCATGTATTAGTATTAGTTGTCGCAACTGGGCATGCAAATAAAAAGTAATAGATAATAACGAATACTGAGAGTGTAACAGCCGAGCGCACAAATTTTTTCAAAACAGTCGGAGGACAAAGAAATAAATATATATATTATAAGCTTTCACTTTCACCAGTTGACTTTCAGCATGTAAGAACATTAGGTTTGGATAGGGTTTGGTAAGTCAAAGAAGCCTAGATTTTGTACATGCTTAGCAGTTGTAACAAACAATGCTTTATTGTGTTTTACCACATGTGCTAGTATTTGATAGGCTACTTTGCCCAGTAAGAAAGTGCTCAATGCGCTTTCAAATACAAAAAAATATATTTAAAAAATGAAAAAAGTAATAATAATAATATATATTTTTAATATAAAAAAATTAAACAGGACTGCTCCTTGCAATATCACACAAGAAGGCCAATACCGCAGCCAGTCCCCCCCCCCCCCCCCCTTAGATACAACAACACGATTAATTTTTTTTTGGAGGGGGGGGGTTAGTGTTTTACAGTGCTTGCAACCGCATCAGGTCAGGTTAATATGAGCGCGCTGAACACAATAAACATTTTCAGTTGGTAGGAAAGTTAAAATTTTGCCCGGGTGACGGCCGAAGCCTACTCTTATCAATTTTGGACAACCAAGGGATCTTTAACAGGCGCAACTTGCACACGCCCTTATGCGAGAAGGCTAGGTGTTCGATCTTACCTACCATAAGATCAGGGGTGTGGCTGAAAGACAGCAGTAAAAAAGGGAGCCAAGGATAAGCAGTAGAAAGGCTGCAACTGCAAAAAGAGTCAGGAGCCCAGAGGAAGAGGCAAAGGAGGTGAGGGGTGGGGGCAGAAATTGGAGACGGAAGCAACAGAACATGGTTAGAGAGCAGGAAAGAAGGTGAAACGAGAAAATTTTCTACAAGTTTAAAGACAATTTTTCCATCGCTATCTGGATTCGAACCCAGGACCTATTGAATGAGAGGCGAACACCGTACCCCTCGACGATGAGAGCCCCCCAACAAAATGAATTATGCATTACTAATTACTGAAAGAAAAGAGGGCGCTATGTGACATGCACTATAAAGTTTATTCTGTATGCTGCCCTGATGATGTGTCTTTGTACTTTTTTCTCCAGAACAATTTCCAAATCACACCTCAAGTATACAATTAAAAGTACTTGTGGTGCATGCGGCTAAATCTGTGGGAAAACTCACTTTCTCTTTGGTCCCACCCATACACTTACTTTACTTTTTCTTTTATCCGCCACTTATACCCTTTTGGGTGTCGCGGTAAGAAAGAGACATCCCTCTGTCGCAAGAATATGGTGTTATCATTTCGAGTTTTGTTGTCATGTCACCCATACACAACCAACAAAAGTTTCAACCCAAACAGCTTTCATCATAGTAAGATTTTATTAAACAAAATGTGTTGATCCGTACCGAACAGCAAGTTTAGAAATGTAGGATGATAACGGAAATAAAAGAAGAGACACAAAAAAAAAGACTCTTTTTCTAATTTACAGTGAAGAACTCCTTAAGACTCAAATTATTCACAATATATTTTTTGAGTACCTATCGTTTTAGGAAAAAATTGTTTGTATATAGAATTTATATGTTTTTCTCTTTTCAGCACACAAGTAAATGTTTTATATTGTGCCTATGTAACATGCGACAGTGCTATTTATTATATGTATTATAAGTATAAGCATGATTTAGGAAAACATTTATTGAATTAAATTTTGTGATGTTTGGAAAAAAAATGGCACACAAGATTGGTAAATTCAGATCTTAGGAGTCTTGAAACACATGCATATTATCAATATTAATGTACAACACAATGTTATAACTTGTATGAGAATGAGCATGACAAAGAAGTCTGAGATGACAGAAGAAATTTAGTTACCAGAATATTTACAATCTGAAACAAGGGACCACAAGAAATTTGAGACTGTGGTTCCAAAACATTTGGAATGTCATGGGTATGATAAAATATATTGTAAAAATATAAATGGTATACAATTTAGGCCCCCTGCCGGTACTATATGTATTAATTACAATTACGGTACATTAATAAAACAATGAGCAATTAGATTAAGACAGGGTGAAAATAAAATTCAGGCGAGATTTTCATTTTATAAGAAAAAGTTAGTTGCGTCAATAATCAATCATGATTTTTTTCCCCTTGCTTGCACAGATTTCTTGTATTGGATCATTTATACAACTTCACTCCTAGCTCACCCCTATCCATTTCTTTATAAGATGAGAGGTGAAGGGAAAGGAAAACAAGAATGTCAAAAGTAATGTCTTCACATAAAAGAGAAAGAAGCCAAACATTCATGATGGGAAGCCTACTACAACAGCTTCTCCGGATAAAAGAAGTCTACTTTCAATATTTTTATTTTAATCCTATCCGTACGCCCTGGGGTCATTTTGTACCCCGGGGTTGTATTCTTCACATTTTAGAATACCTCTAGTACGAAGATCTCTTTGAAACTTTCAGTATTTCTCTAAAAATCATTTTGACAGACTACTATGCAAATTGAAAGCGTATGGATCAGATTAACGAGTAAATTTCGTCTTTGGAAAGCGGTGGCACAGAATTTCCCCATGTCATATGGATATGATAGTAAAAGACGGCGTACGGATAGGGTTAAGTATTAACACACCTACCCTAAACTGGTGCACTGTCTTACTTAAAAAAACAACAACCATATGCTCATTCTTACAATTTATTCAACGGCAGAAGTTGGATCCAATAATTGTTCTTGAATTATATGACTTTTTTAGTGTCTGTCATAACAAGCTGCTGCCCATATTGGTTTGAAGACAACTCAAAGATGAAAATGATGCAGAGATTGGTAGGTTACTAACTACACCAACCTTGACTTTTAATTTATGAGTATACACTAGATATTCTATTTTTTGTAATAAGTTGATTCCAAGCAAAAACATTCAAACAAAATACATAGATTATAAAATAATATACTTGAAAAAGCTTTGAACATGGGTCACAGGTGGCTTGCATATCAATTTCTTAGCTCCTATCATAAGGGCTGAACTTCATTCACAAAGAAAAGGAAGGAAAAAAATTGAACAAAATTATTAACATTGGCAAGTCAATGACCACATGATGGAAAAAAGAGAACACAAAAGGAAAAGTCACACACATCACAAAATATACACATAGGTATGTACAAATCAAATGCTGATTTCCTCAGTTAAAAGAAATATTGCTCATAGAGGTTCATAAAATGATCCATGATTCCTCATCTGAATCTGAGCTGAGCTTTATGGACGAGACAGCGACTTATCAAGTTGTTACATTCTGGCTTTGATCTTTGATAAAACGCAGGAGCAAGATGAAATTCGGAACACTGAAAAAAAGCGGCACAAATTGTACCATACACATACGAACACCCACAAACACGGTGTCTTTGGACTAGCTTCCTTCACAAATAATTTCACAATATTTTCTAGAACCGGGTGTATTGTCAACGGTCCTTTTCTGCCTTTCCCAAATATAAATATCTTTTAAATATGAATTTGAATGAATAATTATGAAATTCTAAGAACACCATAACTTGATTGTCCTCTCAGCTTCAAGTCGGCATGCAAAAATGGATCCCATACAAACAATTTGAGTAATTGTAATGACATTCCACAAGAGAATGTGAAGTCACAAAGTTTGACTGTTCACAGACAGTTGCATACCTACATTTTTGGGACCCAGAAACATACATGTAAAATCAGGCGCTCATCAAAATAATGCAATCAAAGAAACTGGCATTTTAAAAAATGTTTGGCAATTTTTATCAAATTTCTGTTCTTTGGCTCATCACCTTTTATGTCCATTTAAAAACACATTAATTCCTGTGCGGATTTTACAGAAAAACGATTAAAGGCACTAAAAATGTAAATTTGCACTTCTCAAGGGCTCTAAAAGTTTTAGAAGTCACCGAACTTTGGAGGCCATTTGGTCGCAAATGATACCTCTGATATCAAGAAGATGGGTATTTTTTCCACTGAAAGCAAGACAAATGAACAAGCTTTAGCTTTAAGATGATACCAATAACTCCACATGCCCAAAAATTGACAAGCGCCTGATTCCACTGCATCGTGATACATGTTATGTTATGGGCGGCCTCTTGTGCAACTAGCAGCAGTAAATGTGCACATTGAAACAGTTTTTTTTGGGGGGGCTTCTTTTGGTTGAGGGACCCCTAAGCTTCGTTGCTCTAAAAGTAGGTCTGTCATTGTTCACAGGACAGAAATCGGTATCTGCCCTGTACTAATACCAGAAGTTTGGGCTCTTGTTCAAACTACCTCAGTAATACTTCACGTCTTCTTCCCAATTATTAGTTATAATACGTCATACATAGATGGTTACAAAAGTAACCAGTATGTGTGGTTATTTCATCTTTAAATTGAACACAAAAGTCTGATAATGTGGATCCAATAGCAACTTTTCCTTTGGGTACACTTTCAGTTATTTGTACCTTTTTAAACCCTACCTAAATTGTATATATATAGAACAAACTTTTTTCAATAATAAATGCCTCATGTGGAATGTGATTTTTCTTAAATATAATACATCTATGTCATATGTGTCACATTTAGAGCAGGAACATCTTTGTACTCCTAGTCATTCTGCTAAAAGTGTCCGTAAAGTACATCAGTACAACACAAAAATACAGGAAAAAAAGGTAAACAAGAACCAGCAAACAAGTTACCAATATGAAACTCTTATGATTTCTTTAAGTGAAACTTTCAAATGATTGGTATAAATCTTTGCCCGTCAAAATTACTCTCTTTAGTTAAAGGGAGAGTTTACACAAATAGGTTACATAAGTGCTGAAGATTAGAAGAAGTGTTGCAAGAGTAACAAACAAAGAAAAGAAGGAGGAGATATTGAGAACGATAGATAGAAAAGAACGAGCAAACCACATCAGAGCACCTGCCAAAACCACCCACTTGCTGGCTTCAACAAACACCAAGAGACCTAACACTCAGCTGCCAAGGTCTGCAATTAAAAGTATAAATTTACCCTTTAGAAGCAGAAAAGAACCAAGAAAAAGATAGATAGACAATATGGACCAGTAAATGACACTTTACACCAGCATTGTCTCACATTTCAGAAAGTAGCCCACTGCTTCCAATCCTAAAGCTTCATCTGCCCTTCAATACCTACAGCAACAGGATGGGGGTGAAAACAAAACTTTCTAAAAGAACTTACAGTTGGAAAAGACAACACATTTTTCTTTACAGAGTTGTTTTTTTTTTAACAGAATGATAACAGCAAGCAACAGTGTCGAGTGTCTCCCCCCCCCTCATTCCCCCCCCCCCCCCCCCCCCAATCCTTATGACAATCAAATATCAGCTTGCAGAATGCAAGGCACTATGGAAAATATAAAAACAAAAACATTTCTTAACAAGTTCTCTTCAGACAGAAGACAAAAACCTGAAAAATGGAATGTGGTAGGAGATTTATAAATATATACAAGATACAACATTTCACTTTCTTTTCATATTAAAACAAACCCGATCACAGTATCTAGAATTTTCAAAATTATCATTTAAAGTTAAAGGCTCAAACTAAGAAGATAAGTCTCTTTAAAAAAACATGTCACATTTTAAATGACCACCCCCCCACATTTGAACATAAGATTTTACAATTGGGGATTAAAGTACTCTTGATAATTCATAACATCATGTATAAAACCTACGGCGGGCTAATCATCTAGGTTTTGCCCAGCTCCGTACATGTCTGCCAGTCGGGCAAACTTGTCACCCCAGCCACTGAGGAAGTCATAGTCCTGGCTGCCGTCTGTGCTGCTGGAGGCCAGGGAGCTCAGGCTGCCCGCCTCGCTGTTGGCGCCCTCGAAGGCGAACTCGCGAGTGCTGTCGTTGAACGGGTCGTCGTCTGGATTCTCCGCGTCCTCAATGCGCTTGTTGATGAAGCTCCCCACGTCTGGACGGTCCATTCGAGGGTCTTCTTGCGGGGCACCTGGGAAGGAGGAGGAGGAGGAGGGTGAGAAGAGTTTATTTTGAGAGAGTAGGTGGGTGGTTGGCAGGAGAGCTTTGGTGCAATTTGCTCCTTCTTTACTTTCAAACATTCTACTATCAAACTATCTCTCCTCCTTCTTTCTTTGTAAGTTACTCTCTAATAACACCTTTAATCTTGGGCACTTATATGACCTACTTGTGTTGCAAAAGTCTGTAACCTGTTTGATGCTATATATATTATTTCCTCTTCAAATGCCAGATCTGATACAAACACCGACGGTCATAATTCGCCACTTATTTCTGTTGGGATGCTCTACTCATATTATCCTGGTCTTTCCCCCATCTGTTCAAGTTTTGTAAGATAGTCCTGTTTGGCCTGCCTCTTCCTCTTTTGCCTACAATAATTATTTGCCTATAATATTCATATATACATATATATATACATATATATATACATATATATAAATATATATATGGCATTAACACAAAAAAATTCACTTCTAACACTTTCAAATGTCTCTGCTGTTCCACTTTACAATATTTTCCCCCCATGCAATTCGACCATATAATCTACGTAGATCTATATTATATCCAAAACTTCTTGGACAACCTTGAATACAAGCAAACAGTTGGAAATCTTTAAAAAAACCCAAGGCATCTTATATTATCTAGGTACACACAAAGACATTTCCAGACCACAGCTCTACGGTGGAAGCACTTATCATTTATTAAGGTAAACAAATAGATGTACAAATGAAAAACAAAAGCTTTATTTCTATAAGCAGCAAGAATAAGCTACATTTCTATAAATAACTTGCACCTGACAGATTAAACATACCAATCTAGTTACATTTTTAAAAATTATTACTTTCCCCAGACACTCTAAGCATACCAATCTAGAAATTTCTACTGCTACTTCTTGGCTCTTCTTACTGCTGTCTTTTAGCCACACCCCTGATCTTACGGTAGGTAAGATCTAACACCTAGCCTTCTCAGGTAAGGGCGAAAAATCTCGGAGGTCCCGCGTGCAAGTTGCGCATGTTAAACATCCTTTGCTGGTCTTAAAATCAATAAGAGTAGGCTTCGGTCGCCATCTAGGCAAAATTCAAAATTCCTACCAGACCTGAAAATGTTTAATTTCATTGAGTCTCGCGCACTCATAAATGACCTTATGCAGTTGCGAGCACTGTAAAACACCCCCCCCCCCCCCGAAATTTCTATAAAAAACTTCCACCTGATAGACAAATCGAACCAATCTAGAACAGCCACTTACTTTCCCTAGCAGGTCTACTCTCTGTGATGGGTGCATTGAATGGGCGAAGTGGAGCCTCTCTGTCTGGCCGGGTCAGCAAAGATATGTCATAAGCCTGGTGATCTTCCTCTCCTATGGGAAAACAATTGAGAAAAAATCAGTGCTTGAGAAATCAAAACTCAACTAAAAAGTGTGAATCCAAAATGCAGTGATCTTCTACTTCTGCAGAGAAAACAAACGGGAAATGCCACAACCTGAAACTGAAGCAAAACTCAACCAAAAAGTGCGATTTACAGAAACGTGATATTTGTTTTTAGGAAAGTGAATCCCATCGAAACAATAACTGCCATTCATTTAGAACTAAGAAAGAGCAAGATGGACATTAGCAAAAGAGGAATAGTATAGAATTATATGTAAGACCTACTAGCAGCCTCCTTCAGCCTCCTATCCCCCCTGATTACAAAAGAGATAAAGAAGTTCTATCTAGAGGTGCCCTCCAACAACCACCCACTTACAAGGAACGATATGTGCCATGGCGCGGTGGAATCAAGTGTTTGTCAATTATCAGACACATGGAGTTATTGGTATAACCTTAAAGCTTGTTCATCCTCGGAGAAAAAAATACACATCTATCTTGAATAAAACTCAAGATATTTTTGTGACTGAACGAGGTGGGGTTGCCTGGTGTCAAAGGTAAAAATAGGAAGAAAATAGCTACCTAAGTTTGGTGACTCTCAAAGCTTGAGTGTCTTTGGAAACTGCAAATTTACATTTTTTTAAACCTTATCAACATTATGCAGTAATATCCAGACAGAAATGTGTTTACAAATGGACATAAAAGTGTTGAGCCAAAAAAATTCAATGAAAATTGCCCAATAAGTGGACAAAATTTCGGTTTCTTAAATTTATTTTTTTTGGTCGAGCGCCTGATTTCACCACGACGCCTCACATATGACAGGAGACACACAAGTGGCGACAGTATCAGTCTTCACACTGATGACTTTGTGGCAGGTTAGACAAGAAGACGAACATACACTGTGAAGCCTGCTTAAAACCAAATCAGTTGGACCGCTGGATTTTCTTTGATGTAACTGCATTTTCTATTTAAGTCAAATGCTCAAATAGGACCCCCCAAAAATGTTTTAATCGGGAATTCTATTTTTTTTTGGTTTAAGCAGACTCCACTGTGCATACAGTCGAACCTGTTCAAAATGATCCCCTAGTGGACATCTTAGACAGGCTGTCTTCTTGGACAGTGTCAAAATATAGAAAAAACACAAGGGGAAAGTAGGAGTGGTCATTTGTACAGGTAATTGTCTTGGACAGGAGGAAATTAGGGCAGGGGTAACCGTAATATAATCACAGAAATCAACATAACACACAATCACAGGAACACTCGATCATGCCATACCTGCTCCTTCCTCATCATAGAAGATGACATTTTCCCGTATGAAGTCATCATCTGGATCAACTTTGAGAATATTATCAGAGTCTGGCTTCTTGCGCCGGCAGACTATGTACAGCACCAGAAGGATCACCAGAACTGAAATGAGAAAAAAAAAAAAGATTTCAAAATTCTCCATGGATGCCAACCATTTCAGAAGTTGTTGTTGTTTTCAAATCCTTTTAACTGCGAGCATTTTGCTCTTGTCATCTGGTCAACGCCAGAGAAGCCATTTCAGATAGTAGCATTCATCAATTATAAGTTACATTCAAAGTTGTCTAAGACGCCCACCCATTGTTGAGAAGAAAAGTGAACATAATCTTAATCAGGTGGACGTCTTGCACTGTGTCAAATCATTATAATGTAAAAAAGTGCAGGGGAGGGGGGGGGGATGGGAAAGTGGCCATTTCAAATTTGTGCAGGCGACTGTCTTATACAGGTAGCCATTAGAACATTAGAGCAATTTTCCCTGGGATTGAATTAATATATCTTTTTAAAAAGGAAAAAAATGACAAATAATTTCGCCCATGATGGAAGAAGACGTCAAGAAGATCATATATATCATCAGCATCATTCCACGATCGCCCGAGCCAATTTCTGGAATTCTGGAAATTTCAAAATAAAGCTGTCATTCGAATAAAGACATCAAGTGACATTCTAAGATGTATACTTTCATTCTGATTAATTATTTCCTTCTTAGTTTTTAACTGAAAATAAATTATGGGGGAAAAGTCAAGAGTTTTGATTTTTGGCTCCCTTTTTTCTTTCATTTTCTTAAAGTTTAAAAAAATGATTGCGCACTTGTGGAACGATTGCTGACAATACAATATGTAAAGATTTTCATTCAGTATCAGAATGCATACACATTGATATTAAAATGAGCAACAACAGAATGGGAAGCAGTACTGTGTAAAAGTACAAAAGCCAAAAATTACTCGACAGAAGCAAAATGGCTATGAAAGGGGAAACAGGACAGTCAGATGTCAAAACTTACTCAACAGAAGCAAAATGGCTATGACGATAAGAGCGATCAAGCCAGCGCTCAAAGCGCCATCATCGTCATCCACCACTGCCAGCTGGTTACAGTACTGGCCGTACATGCCCTTGGGACAGTCGCACACTGCCTGGTTGTCCTTGACCGTGCACTTGACACCGTTGAAGCATGGGTTATCCAGGCATGGAGATGGGCAGATGCCGCCTGCTAGTTCCAGGGTATTAAACGGACATCTGGAAATACAAGGCAATATGGTGTTCTTAATATAATAATAATAATAATACTAATACTAATAATACTAATAATTTTTAAAATAATGATAAATTGGAATTTATACAGCGCCCAATCCCTAGAGGGCTCTAAGCGCTGTACAATGCAGAATTTTCCATCAACTTAACTTTTTTGTTGTTTTGGAAAGAGTTTTACGGCGCTCGCAACTGCATAAGGTCATATGAGCGTGCGGAACACATTAAACTTTTTCAGTTGGTAGGAAATTTTGAATTTTGCCCGGGTTGCGGCTGAAGCCTACTCTTATCGATTTTAGACCACCAAGGGATCTTTAACTTGCACAATTGCACACGGGCCCCCCGAGATTTTTTCGCGCTTGTCCGAGAAGGGTAGGTATAGATCCTTCCTACCAGAAGATTAGGGGTGTGGCTGAAAGACAGCAGTAAGAAGGAGCCAAGGAGAAGAAGTAGAAAGGCTGCAGAAAGAGTCAAGAGCCAAGAGAAGGGGGCAAAGGAGGTGAGGGAGTGGGGGCAGAAAGAGGAGACGAAAGCAGACGACAGAACATTGCTAGAGAGCAGGAAAGGAGGTTAAAGGAGGCAATTTTAGAAAAGAAAATTTTTTCGGACGCTACCCGGATTCGACCCAGGACCATTGAATGAGAGGCGAACACCTTAACCTCTAGGCCACGAGAGCCTTCCTCAACTTAACTGACAAATCAAAGGACATAAAATGCACATAATGAGACCATTTAACTCTTTAAACCCCACCGCACACTGGGAGCGTCCGATACTAGTGACAACGGTTTCGTTTGAATAATTAGAGTTAATTTTTGCTTGTTTTTCGGAACTATTCCCGAACCAAGTTTTTTAGTAATGATTTAGCCTTTGGTTTCCGCCACTTAGAAGTTGGAGGCAAGCTTTTGGGGTTATAATGAGACGTAGTGCACCAGGTTTAGGTGACTGAAAAAAACCTCCGGGAAATTGTGGAAAAAACTCAGGGTTTAAAGAGTTAATATACATGCTCGCATACACACACCAACACACCTGCATTCATATGCTTCCCACAAGCTTGTACAATTTCCTTGGCCGCAAGGATCTGGGACACAGTCGTTTCTAACGCATCCCTCAGATGTGTTGAAATTTTTCAGCAAAGTCGCCCCTGCAGCTGGGTCTGAATTGCCATTCAAAGTCATCGGGAGCCACTCGTCATTGATCCGAACGTCTCTAATACACGCTGAAAGAAAAGGTTCTCAGTTGTCAGTACAGCAAAGCTACTTCCTGACACACGACACACAAAAATTATCATACAATGATGAGTTTGTGTGCTCATAAATCCTTCAACTTACACAAAATAATATCCATACAAAGGGCAATGCGCCATTTCGTCACAAAAAAAAAAAAGAAAAAAAGAAGCAGAGTAGATTTGAATTTCGGCGCTCGTGTCTTTCAATTAACTGATTCATTTTTAAGGCAAGAGGTAAAAAAAAAAAAAGATTATCAACACATATTCTGAAAAAAAATGTGAACTTGAATAAGTGAGCTCACCTTAGTCAACCTTTTAACTAAAGCAAAAGGGAAAATATCTCAAAGAATGGATTTTTAGTACACAAAATAATCTCTGCAACACTGAGGATATGAAACAAGTGACACACTTTATCCAACCATATCAACAATTATTATTACTATCATTATTACTATTATTATTATTATTACTATCACTATTATTATTATCATTATTATATATTCATTATTGAAATTATTGTACTCACTGCTGATGAGGTCATCGCTGATGTCTCCTGGAACGTTCACTTGGCCAGGGACGGGGGGCAGGCGGGCACCGACACTGATGTAAGCCAGAGGACGGAAAATCACTTTCACTCCTTCCTCAATTGGGCGGAAATTGAACTTACGCCCTTCTCCACCATCCATCCTCAGGCTGAGCTCATTTCCATGACGTCTGACATGCACTGTGTGCCACTGGCCCGTGTTCGCCATGGCGTTGTTTAGCGCCACAGTCTGACTGCCGGGTCCCATGTCATAGGTCAGCTGCAGTCTGCCGTCGCGGATCTGAAAACATTACCCAACCATATAACTATGAACAAAGAATCTGTAATTCGCATAAGACATGGTTAAAAAATGTTACGAAACACAAAAATACGTACAGTCGGGCACGGCAAACACTAACACAAACAAAAAAACCTCAAAATCATGGACAGCTCGTACAAATCGCCGTTCTGCGAAAGATATCTCTTTAATATTTCACTCTACTCTTTACCCGCATCCTGAGAAAAGACAGAGAGACCCCTACCTTCCAGTCTAGTTCAACCCCAAACATACACTGCCCCCACTCCATCAGGTATTTCCGAGCGAAGATCGGCCTGATCAGCCATCTCCGCACACACCCCACCCCTCCAGTGATGTGAAGTCAAGGTCATCTTTGCCAGCGAAGGACGAACATCATCACCGGTAGCTAGGCATACGGGCAGTTTTACGCGCCACAGGTGTACCAGTGGCAAGGGCTCAACAAAGGGTTAAAAGGGGACAGAACAACTGATGGAGGCAGTATTCATCGCATTTTTACATACCTGCAAGAGAATAGTGGCCTGCCCAACATTGGTCATGGTGAAGAGATTCCCAGATGTCTCCCTTGTTCTGAACATGAGATCTATGCTGTTGTCTCTCACTGACTCATCAATTGTGTTCTGGTCAAGCTGCCACTTGAAGAAGCTCTGCCACTTCAAGTCACGAATGGGCGCCTCTGAAAAGAGCACAAAAAATTCAAACTTACAGGTTTTATCTCTTGTATAAGAGTCTTGTGCTGTACAAAAAAGGGGGAAAACATAGAAAATAATATTAAGAGGCTAGCCCAGTATAAGGAAAGGTGGAAAGTGTTTCTTCGTGGCCAATACCCTGATGCAGAGTGAGAAAGGCAGTGATGATGATGATGATGATCATCATCATCATCATCATTGTGTACAGCAGATAGTAAAACGGTGAAGACCTTGTAGTATTTCCAAAATATTTAATGACAAGTTCAACGTTTCGCCCTCAACGGGCTTCAACAGGAACATTCAAAATAGAAAGGACTAGAATCATCAGAATCACATTCCATATCCTACTCAGGGTAGACCTCGTTGTTAAGCTTCCAATTCAGAAAGATCTTCAAAATATTCAGTAACGTCCTGTAGTAGTAAACACTGTTTTCCGTGTACGTTTTGTCCCAGGCAGGCTAGTTTGGGGATACGGTCTCGCCCACCGGTATACTGATGGTAATGCATGCAGGCAATTTTACATGCCACCACTTTACCAGTGGATAGGGCTCAAAGGGTTAAGGCCCTTTGTTTAGTTAGTTTAGTTTTAGTAGAGGTTTTACGGCCCTCGCGACTGCATAAGGTCATATGAGCGCCAAGGGGTGGATGTCAACAGAGAAGTCCTTACAGGAAATCAGGCTTACTCTGCTCACTTTTCTAGCTTCAACAGCACAAAGCTCCTTCAATTATCAAGGCACCCCGGAAATAGCGAGTCACAAGATTGTGGCAAACATAGCGTAGAGGAATAATGACGATAGTAAGGATTAGGAAATAAAAAGCAGCAGTTCCCTGTTGCAGTTTGGGCAGTTATGAGCATGACATCGATGAAGCAGCCCACTTACAATTCTACTGTTCATAAGAACAGGTTAATGTCCCCCCTTTGGGAATGGCCTGAAGACACTTCAGTCAGTAGTACCCATCTGGGGGGTGTAAGGCCCTTATGTCAATTCAAGTGTACCAGGAACTGCATTTGTCTCTTCCCACTTGTTTCTATTAGACTGTCTCAAGCAAGCATCTAACAGCATTCTCTCTCATTTCCATTCATTCTCCTAATAATAAATAGCATTTGTATAGTGCAAATTCCCAAACAACCGCAAGCTCTTTGTAGGCTACTCTACAATCGATGTTATTACCCCAGCAGACCTGATAGCATGCTGGAACAATCTCAATTTTCTGAGAAGGATACAGTGCAAGCTACCATTTTACAGGTGCTAAAACATTTGACTAACATACTAACAAAATCTCTTGCTGTCTGTGGCTGGGTACCCATTCACACCTGAGTGAAGTGAGGAAAAGCTCAAAGACACAATGTCAGGCCAGAGCTTCGAACCTCCGAACCCGCAACCTCACAATTACCAGTCCGGTTGCCTGACCACACAAGACTACCTAATAAATCGCATTTCTGTAGCCTCTGGTTTATTTTCATTATTTTTTGTCATTTGTGAAAAGCATTACATAGCCCCAGTATAGTGGTGACTGTCACTTACCTTTTTCACACTTATTGCCATACCAGCCAGGCTTACAAGTACAGTCAATAACTCTCCGCGAAGGCTGCCATTCACTTATGCAGGTTGAATGTTTCCCACAGAAAGGTGTAGCCGAATCTTCTCCACAGATGGTCTCCTCATCAGGACAACCATTTGTGCCAGAATTCCAATTGGGGACTTCTTTATAGTGGAGGTCGTACAGCTGAAGTGAGAAACACCATCATGAATTTTCCATTTCAATTTTTTTATATTAAGCTTTAGTAAATTTTTACAGCACTTGCGACACAAATTAACTCATATAAATGCTGAACATTAGAGGTGTTACTACAGAGTAACATACAAAGCAAAGAACGAAGAGAGATAAGGATGGCAGATGTTTGATCGAAGAGAAGGAGCAAACCACACTGGAGCACAAGCCAACAACCCACATTTCTTTTTTGTAACTGAATAGGTACTGAATGAACAATAAGCTAAAAGAACACATCGACACAAATTTCAGAGAACATTCTGATAAAGGCATGGCATAATAAATTACAAAGCCCAATAATGGTATATCTGCTATACTACATTAACTGCAATGATTCACTTTACATAAGTCCAAAGCTTAACAAAGTCTAAAGGACCAATTCAAACAACAAAAAGATAGAATAGTAGGCCTACATTCACTTATACTAGAATTATTCCAGACTGAAAACCAAAGAAACATCTTAAGATTTTAAACAACTTAAGACATCTATACAATCAGCAAAGTAGACAGCTGATACCCCCCTCCCCCATCCCTACATTGTGTTTACACTCAGTTTGAGTTAAGAGAGGCACATCATCACACTATTGGTCATTAAGAGTTGAAAAAAAAGCAAGCCTTACTGACAGACAAAACAGGAGAAAACTAAAGAAACAAAACTTACTATCGGCACCTTCCAACCAACCCCCTTATACACTAAAAAGATAGATGATTCTTTAAATGAAGGAAATATTACAGGACTAGAAAAAAAACCCCAACAAAATTGCTTATATAAGCACTCACTTTGGAATCATGCATGAGGTTTTTCACACAGCCTGTAAATCCATTTTGCCCTAAATTGGGCGGGTAATCCGGTAGCACGTTATCTTGGAAATATCGGCCTCCTAGCTGCAGGAAGGTTGCCACGTTGAGCAATATGTCGCCCCCCAGGACAGAGCCTGAGGTTCTGCATGGGGTCCAGTCCAGAACGACTCCTGTCGCATCTGCCTCGGCGACTTCACAGTGATCTATGGTCAACTGGAACCTCTGTAAACAGTCAACACAAAAAAAGTAGAACCCATGGGATACTTAAGTTTTAGTAAGAGTTCAAGTTTGGGAAAAGAGAAGCACATCAGCACGATAACCGTCAAATAGTTCAGGGAAGAAGCAAGACAGCTGGAAACTACAAAGGGAAAGAAAAAAAGTAGGACCTACCAGTAGCGCCCTCCAACCACCCGCATTAGTAAAAGTTTTACGGCACTTGCAAAACAAACAGGTCAAATAAGTGCTGAAGATTAAAGGTGTTACTAGAGAGTAAATAACAAAGGAAAGAGGAGGAGCGATAAGCACGACATTTACTTGATAGGAAAGAAGGCACACAAAAAGTGTAGGTGTATGGTTTGCCTCTATCGACACTGTCAGGTTTTTTCAGAGGCCGGACCTCCGAATTTAATGTCTATCTCCGATAGGACTGACGAGCCAGATGGTTCGAGAGCTTTGAAAACTCCACAAAACACACTGAGTTCATGAACGCCCAGTCTAAGATTCGAACCAGGGCCATTCGCTCTGTAGTCCAGTCCAGCATGATACTAAATGAGCTAAAGGAGCCCCCCATCCTCCCCGAAGAGATGCCACCGCCAGGTGTTGTTGTTGTTCTCGAGGTGTTTGTGCTCGCTACCCTGTTCTTTCTTGGAGCTTTCAGGCATGTCACAGTCTGTGGCCGCCAGCTACCTGTTGTTTTCTTTATCTTAATACGACATGTACCATAATTCTTTGACCCAAACTCAAACAGCTCCGACTCCTTCCCAAAGTGAACAGTTGGTGGGGGGGGCTCTCTGGTGTGGTTTGCTTCTTCCTTCTTATAAGATAGTGCAGTCAAAAATTCGTGGCGCAACTTTTCCTCAAATGTCGTTTTGACAGTTGAATCAAAGTCACCCATATTTTACCCAGTAGTTTGTATCAATTTGTCTTTACTTAATCATATTTTTTACACAATAATTGGGGCTAGATTAAAAAACTGTTCTTCATTAATTCATATAAAATGCTACAAATCTCATTCACGCAAAACTCTCAGTAAAACTACTAAACAATACTAAACCTTTCCATGTTGGTGGTTGGCTAATGCTCTGTTGGGGTTTTGCTTCTTCTTTCCCATAAAACATTTATAATCGTTTTCTCTCATCCTTTTTATGTTTATAACTGTCCTGTAACACCTCTACTTTTCGGGCGCTTATATTACCTAATTGCTTTGCAAGTGTCTTAAAACACTTACTTAATGCTTCTAAACCTTCCAGCAACCGTCCCGTGAGAGCCAACTGATCCAGGGGGAGAGCTCGCCCACATCCCGGCAATCCGGTTCTCCCAGGACCCCGATCTCTCGTGCAAGCAGCAACAGCAACCGATTCCAGCCGAGGGAAGTGGGAGAGGAAGAAAGCCAGCGAGAA